GTTTGGGTTTTTTGAGGGGGGGGGGGGGGAAGTCATGTCTCTAGATAATCCTCAAATCAGGATTGGTAGTCACTGATGTGGCTAAAACTAGATGCACAGTGTCCTTCTAAGTGTATCGGTTCTTGCCAGCTACTGCTTTGTTCTTTGTGCATTGTTGAAATGACCAGGAAAACGGTTGAGGGCTGTCTAGCACTGAAGTTATTTCTCTTGTGTCACTAGTGGTCTGGCAGGCTCACCTGCATTATAAGCAGAGCCTGACCTGAACCCAACTTCTGGTAGGACCTGTTGGTTTTGAGACAAGGAGGTAAGTTTAGTATGCCAGGGAGGGAAGGTCTACTCTTTATGGTCTCTATCCATTTTATGTGGACTTCACCAGCTTTCCTGAAGAGGGCGAGTGTTACAGTTCTTTGTAGCAGACAGAAGTGTAGCAAGTGTAGCTGTCACTGCACACAAAATCTGTATGGGGAGGAGGGGACCATTAAGTTTCCTCCCAGCCTTCTGGTGCAGAAGTGGAACCCAGATGCTTCTGTCTTTCAGATCTTAACACTCTTTTGTATAGCAAAGACTGTTTTGCAAGGAAGAGATGTTTCAGTGTGCTTAAAAATGTAAGTCTAGATCCTCCTTCATGGGTTCAGAGGCAGGATGTAATATAAGGGACCTTTCTGCATCTTTATCAGATTGAAGTGGTCCAATACAATCAGTCTGTGTAAAAGAATGGCGCATGTCCAACAAATACCTTATCAGGAGACTTCATAAACCTAATGGGTTTTTTAATATAATGATAACAGGAACCTTAAGAGGTTTATATTAACAAAAGATACCTGCAAGGACATCTCTTGTATTGAAACTGATCCCTTGCAGTAATTTTGTGTGCATGGCTGTAATGCATGTGTCTCTTGCCACATGAAAGCATCAGCTGCACAGCTTCAAATACAAGTAGAAAATCCTGATTTAATTCACACTTGTTGAAGAATTGTTTTAAGTAATACTCTTGCTTTCAGCTGTGATCTCTGGCAAGAGGAGCTGCTTGGACTTGTGCCTCTTTATGTTCAAAAAAGGAATGCTGATGAGGAAGAGGTGTTAAAATATGTTACTGTAGTTTACAACTGTCAACTATAATGTTTTATTTAGCTGTATCTATTCAGATGCTCCCTCCGCACCATGGAGTGCCATATGCCATTGTCCCTGTTAGTAAGCAAGTCAGCAAAGGTTTCCCACTCTGCATTTGTTTTTGTATTTGGGCCGCTGAGGAGCTGTGGTCCAGTGCCATCTTTTATTGATAGGGCCAGCAGAGGAGGAATCTAATGAAATTATCAAAGCTTTGAATTAATTATGAACTTGAATAAGAAAGCTAAGCTCTCTAGAGCCAAGGATCTCATTACCCATTCATTTTCATTGCATCCTCTTATGGAGCAGAAGGCAGGTTCAGCTACAGCTCCTACCCTGATTTTGGACTTTATTCAAACTTGCTAAACTCACTAGCATCCACTTGTTATTAATCTGTGGCTGGAAGTGTCCAGGGTGATTAATTTGACTCTGCTGTAAATCTTCATGTAAATGGTAGATTTCCCTTCTCCTTTTCCTCTTACCTTTGCTGTGTGGCTTTTCATCATCAGCCTGGCTGCCATACAAGAGTTTCTGTTCTTTCTTGGTAATTGGGGAAAGCTATTCAAGACTCAAGTTTTAACTTCCTGGAATTTAATGAGTTAATGTTAAGAAATAATACCGCTACCTTATATTTCCTGGATATTTAGGTAAGCACACACACTTCTAAAGTCATTATCAAAATTGTTTGTTTTCTTATTTTAAAAGACTATGGAGTAAAAAGTAATGATTAGACATTTTGGCCTCAGAAGTATGGGGTTGTTGTGGGGGTTTTTGGTTGGTTTTTTTTGTTGTTGTTGTTCCTCTTTTAAATTTGTTGGTCAAACTACAGAAATATCTGAATTTGTCAATACTTTATTACGATGAACGATTAAATTACTTTGCCTGATTAGTATTCCATTAAAAATTGTTAAAAGTCTATGAAAATGCAATGCTTTAGTTAAATTATATTTATTTTAATTAATAGGTCAATGTATAAAAATGTTTCTGGCAAATTAGAGCAAAAGCAGCAAGACCAAGCTTCTGTGTTATATTCCTGGTTCTTGTGGATATTCCTAAGTCTACTGACAAGGGTTTTCTTCTCCTCCTGCTTTTGTCCGTTTCAGCACATTATTTATGAATGCATAAACTAGAACCTATCAGTCTTCATAAGTTAGAGGCCACTGGCAATTTTTTAAGCAGTGGCTAACTGCCTAATGGTCTCTGTGTATGTGTGTATTTGGAGAATCTAATAGCTTGCTGGGCGGGGGAATAACATTTTGTTCTTGTACTATATAGCTATTTTACCATTGGTGATATTTATCTTTTTCTCTCTTCAGGCAGCTGCTATATTTAATTCTGCTTTTGGAAGTTTTTTGGTAAGTAATGCAGTATTTATAGCAAGTGCTTTAATAGTCTTATTTTTAACAGTATTATCGGTGTGTTTGTATTTTTCACATTAGTGTTGGTGGAATTGTACCATTTAGCTGGCAAAAATCTGAATCATCTTTCAATTTATATAACCATGCCATTAAATACAGATATTACGATTTCTTTTCCTTTTGCTAAACTCTTGAGAAAAGTAGTGAATAAATTGGCTCTGCTCATGGTAAATTAATAATGTGTAAACACATCTTAATTTTCTCCTTAATGGGTTAACAGAATCTATTATTATGCAGATGTTTCAGACGTGGGCATCAATATATTGATTTTTCTAATAAGGCCCATCAAATACTCATTATTTCCTATCAAGAGGCCATGGATTTTGAAAAGAAAACATGACCCAGCTGATCAGAGAGTAGATGCTAATTTACTCAGTGACATGTCATTTGTTTAGCATATTTCACTGTCAGTAAAGCCACTCAATGTCTCCGAGGAACACACTAAAATAGCTAGATATGGGAAAGCAATCAATCCAGCTGGAAATACAACCACTTCTGTAAAAAGCTAAAACAGTATTTGGGGGCCTGGTGGTCTACAAAGAGTCAGAAAGGACACTGTAAAGAACACTAAATAAATACATTTATGAAGAAAGGAAGAATAGATTTCTTGATACATTGTTTAGAGAGACATAAATGAATATTAAATACAAATCACTTTGTATGTAGGCAAGCTACTGTAACTGATTGTTTTATTTATTTAGGCAGCTAATAATTGGATTTGTTCTTCTTTACTAAAATTTGTGCATGTTTAGAAGTCTGCATTTGAGATTCCAATCTTGTGTCCCCATAAAGAGGATGATGATGATGTATAAAATGAATGAATGACAAAAGAATTCAAATTAGGAAATTAAAATCAAAACTGCAAGTACAAAATAACTCACTTTTATGCATAATTTGTTTTATGAAAAGCTACAGTTTGGGAGTTTAAGTATGTAAAGCTGTACTGCCAAGAGAGAAAGTTGCATGGCATTTTGAAGCTATACATTGTGCTACTGCTTTTATGAGGGACCAGGTTTAAAGTTAGGAGGGTGGCTGTAAGTTTTTGTGGGTATAGATGACCATTCAGATTTTGAAAATAACAGTTCCCAAATACTTGTTCCTTTTTGTCACCTATCATGTTTCACTCCAATGGGAAGAAGGTACTTTTTGCCCCAAACTGGAATTCCAGTGTTAGAGCAACTTTTAAGTCTTGTATGCATGTGGCATTTTCTCTTGTTGCTTGGCACGAGCTCCAGTTTCCCTGCTGTCCCTAGCTTTCAGTTCAGGAGGTTTCCTTGAATACCCAAAAGGCCTCAGTTCAGCTGTCATTAGGAGAATGTCTTTTGACTTCAAATAAGAATTTAGGCCCCAGAGCATCTGACTGCAATGCCAGCTCCCAGTAAAGCAACAAAAACATATTTTAATTTCTAGAACCTGATTGTAGCTCTTTGAAGAAATCTCAGTTAAAGAAGCTGAGCTAGTTTGTGTGTTCATACAATATTCCTGATTTTGGTTTTGATCTTAGTTCCATGAACTGATCATTGGAAAGTGCCATTTACATAGAATTACTTCATTTCACTTTTTATTCGCTTCATATTTTTTTCGAAATCTTGGAGCAGCATTGTGGTAAACATTTTTGTTAAAAAAAAAATAAATAAGTTCCCAGGAGAGACTTTTCAAAAATATTAAAGATCAACTAGAATCAAACCACAATACCAGCTGATTTTTTTCTAATTACTGATTTTTTTAAAAATAAAATTATAAAGAAAATGTCCACTATTAAGTCACAAATATGTACAAACACTTAGACACTAATTGTTGTATCCTACTTTGAAATCATGATTATGTAGGGACTATGTATGTGTGACAGAAAATAAATCACAAATATGTCTACTGAAAGGTTTGTTCTTACAAACTTTTCCAGTTATATAGTTGATAGTATCAAACTGAGGACTGAAAATGCAAAGAGGTGATAGAAAGCCAGGGACTGTAATAAATAGCCAGAGTGGTTTACCAGTTTCACGGGGCTGTAGGTCTACACAGCCTTTGAGTGGCTCCTGAATATCAGTAGCATGTGGTCATTTACTTTGTAAGTTTTCCGTGAACAACTGGTGAAACATTTTACATATATATATATACACACACACTTGTTTGAAGTCAAAACTGTTCCATAAATACAAAAATAATTGGCCTGTTTCTGAGAGGATAATAGAGGGTCCTGGCTGTGTTTTTGGAAATCCATCAGTTTATATGGGTGGCTAACTTACAGGCCTGGCTATAGGTGGAGATCCTATTTCCTGTATCTTTAATTCATGATGAATCTAAATCACATTTGCATTTTTCTTATTAGTGTCTGATGATGTGCTGTCTGTGGATAGGCTTAGATGTAGTTATATACCTTTGTGCTCATAACTGTATACATGTCCTGCAGATAATTTGGAAGGATCTGACTGTTGGCAAGGCTGCAATTTTTCTTATGTTTCTTGTCTTACAACGTGTAGCACACGGGTGGGTTGCTGCACTTGCGTGTAGCCCTGACAAAGCCAGGAGGACAGTATGTTGTCTTTTCTCAGACTATGCCCTGTGGGCCAGTGTCTGTGTATGATAGTGTGAAGCAAGCTGATTTAAAAGGGCTGAAAGATGTGCAATGCTTTTAACTCTTTTCTTTTTTTTTCTCTCTTTTTTTTTTTTTTTTAAGACTAGGAAATTGAGAAGTTAAATTAAACTGTGGAACAAAATGTCTGCAGGAAAAGGCTCAGCATAATATTAGAATGAGACTGAGATGAGCTTATTCAGATGAAAAGGAACACGTTGTGATACGCAAAATGTAGAAATGCCAAATATGTCTTGATGAGCAGAAATATGCTTAGATTAAGCATTTGGAGGTGTTTTCACTGGTAAGGAGATTTATGAAAACTGCCAACCAACTGCAAAGTAATTCCTTTTAAATGCCACCAAAGCCTATATTCCTCTAAATATGCAGGCAAAACAATGCATGGAATGATATTGTACATATTTACACTTAGTTTAATAATGTCCCAGGTCTAATTAAAACACAGTGTTTTAAAGAACTAATTGTTACAGAAAAGTGGTTTTTATGTAGCTAGATTAGTATAACTAACGATAGATGAATTCAATTTACATAAATTTCAGCCAAGAGAATATTTAGAATCATACCACAGAGGATTGCTTTGAGTTGGGTAGTTAATATCATTATCTCCTCCCCTCATTTAAACAGTATGGTTTACAATAATTGTGGAGCATAAGTGATTTCAGTTTTTCCTTTTAATGGGGTTTTAATAAAATCTGATAGCATTTTACTAATACTGGGTGGTTGGTTATCAGCAAGGTTGCTACTGTAAAGCATGCAAAGGCATGGCAAGATCTGCTGAGACAGGAAGCACTGAGGTAGCTGCTTCCACTTGTAGGAGAGGGGATACGTCTGCACATAAAGGCTAAAAAAATTGGGATGTTGAGTATAGGTCTACTGAGATTCTTAACATTGTATACATCACCATGCTTCCTGAGCATTTCTATTCTGCTTCTGTTGTGCTGCAACAGAAAAATAGTGCTTGTTAACATCCAAAGCGCAGGGCAGTAGGCAGGATACTACAAAACGTGCTACGCTGATGATTGTTGCGTGGTGTTTGCCTGGGTCGCTCAGCTATTTGGCTTTAAGTTCGCTGAGACATAGCCTGTCATTGAAGCTGTTCTTGCACTGAAGTGGAAACATGTGCTTGGTTAAGAGCTAAACTCAATATGCAGTGATAATATAATGTCACGTGCGTGGGAGAAGGAGGGGGCCTGAAGTCTAGCAGACCATGTCCTCACAGAATGCTCTGCACTGCTAGACTAGAAACAGCCTTTTCTAATCTCTTTCTACCTCTCATTAATCTCCTTTCCGCTTGAGACAGTGGGCTTGGAAACTCATGAGAGTATCCAGCTTGTGATGTGAGTGAATGTTGTCCGATTGCTTGGTGCCTTTCACAGTAAGTGTGAAAGGAACAGACATCAGCTTCACCTTAAACAAAGAACTGTAACTGAAATCTGAAGGTCTGTGGTGACAGGAAATCAAGAGGAAAAGAGAGGATTCAGAGGACTTTGCTCTGGTGACCGTTGTGCTCCTGAAAAAACATAGCAAAAAGCAGCCAAAAATGAAAGTGTTGGTTGAGACTTCTCATGATGCTGTCTGGTATTAGCTTTGCTTCCTCTAGTGAAACCTATGGGATGAAATAAGGCCTGTGTCCAGGCTACATAAAGCCAGTCTGAAGGAAGGAACCTATTCCAGGTGCCCATCATTTCATGAATCTCCTTTTCCCAAATTAAGTATGTCTGGTTTTGTTGTTTCATCTGACCGTCTTTCTAAGGGGATAGAGCTGGTTCATATTGTTCAAAAACCCAAATAATTTTTGGAGCAGCCACTTGGCTAATCAGATCAAGGCTAGTGTTTTATTTACATTGCCTTCTAAATGAAAGCTAAAGCTAGCAGGAAATGTGAAAGTTAGCTTCTCACATATATACAAAGCCTAGCTGGTTAATGAAAATGTATGGAATTCTTATCTACTCTGCTTTAGCAGGCATAATGATTTACACAGCCTGACAGCACTAGTGCAGCAAGTAAATGCATTAGTCATAGTGTCCATTTTTCTTGCAAATTTGTGACACAGATTTAATTATGGGAATGACCAGCAACTTACAAATCTAATTTTGGTAGGCTGAGCCAACTTTTTTATTTTAATAACAATGGATTTTTTAGCAATGATTTCATTACTATTTAAAGAAATCCACTCGTATGGAAATAACCGATTGGCTGAATTTATTTACTTTATTTTACCTTAATAGATGTTGAATGGTTTCGGTTTACTTTGGGGGTTTTTTATTATCACTTTTTTATCTTAGTTATTTCTAGGATAAATATCCTTATCTGGCTTAATTATTTCTTGCACAAACATTGTAAA